GCAATCATTTTATTATGGTATTGAGTCATCAGTTGATCGATTTGTAGTCTCTTTGGCTTTATGGTCTAAACTCTAAAGCATGTGGGAAGTTCTCGGATGAGGATTACAGTGGAAGGAGATGGCTAGGAAGGGGTCTTAGGATTGTGACGTGCACTTTGTCGTGAGTGCACTCAAAGTAAATTCAACACTAACACTTATACGTAGTATAGGTGAAGTAGAGTTCGTATCCACAGGGAAAGGATTAACTTTCTTTTTATATAAATAGTAAATGAAGGGGGGTTTTGATTGTTGAGTGATTTAATTAAATAAAACACGAAGATGAACGAGTTATATGGGATTAAATTCAAGAATAAAAGGGACTTGGTCTTGCTACTTTCCACTTGTTGATATATTTTAGTCGATCATTGTTATATCTATAACTTATCCCCTCTCGAATACTCAATCGAGGAGTATATCCAATTCATCGAGGGTAGTTATTAACAACGACCGTTCATTAATAACCCTTACTATTAACGAAATATAGAACAACGCCGTATACCGATTTAATAGTAGCATTTAACCTCTATAACTCCTTGATGAAATCAATTGAGATTGATAACCTCAACACAACGGTTTCGGTTTAACCAACAAAATTAATCCCTCTTAAGTTTATTAACCACGACCGTGCATTAATAAACCGAAGTTACTTACTTATGAAACCTTCAACGTTTAACAATCGGTTCGTTGAACGTTTCTAGTAATAATCAATGTCGGAACGTTAACTAATCGTCACTTAGCCACCCTCCAACAATGATATAAAATGAGATTAAGGGAAGAATTAATAATCAAGAAGAGAAAGTAAGAAAATAACTCACAACTTTAATAATCAATCAAGCTTCAAGAGCAAAACCAAGAAATGGAAGTTTAGCTCCTCATTTGGAGACTAAACATACTAAAAGAAATATAGGGGAATGCTATTCTAAACTGAGCTTAAGAGTATAAAGGAATTGGTGTCTTCTTTTGTGGAGGAAATGTGGTGTATTTATAGGCTTTTTAGGCCTGCAGGGTCGTGTACCCGATCGGGTTTTCAGCCCAACCGATCGGGTAAGGGTTATTTCCTCGAAACTGAAAATCTGGGGTCATACCCGATCGGGTATGTCGGCCACCCGATCGGGTATGGATACGCGATCGAGTTAAAAAAATCCTCCTGCATGTTGCCTTGTTCCCGGGTTGATTCGATTTGACTTTTCAGCAACTTACCCGATCGGGTATAGAGCATACTCGACCGGGTACACTACCAAAAATCAGAATCTTCATCTTTTCTTGAAATCTTTGCACCTTCCTTCCATTTGTGATGTTTACCGATGGTCCCTAGAGTGGTCTTGGACCTGTTTGAGCTCAGAACCAACCTAATCTAAACAATTTACAAACATTTTACAAACTAAACTATTACACCAAAAGTGTGTAATTTCTAGAGTAACAATCACTCAAAACTAATCAAAAACACAATTATAAACACGGAAATAACATGAATGTCAGATTGCTAGTGAGCAAAAACAAAGGTGGTTAGTGATGGGTGATGAGGGGTCGAAATGTCATATATGACGGTTTAGAGTGTGAGCATGCGAAGTCAAAAAACAAGGTGAAAGCAGGCATGGTGAGAAAGGCCCACCTGGATTTCTAGCTTGTATTTTAGGGTGATTTACCAAAAAGGGGGAAAAGGGGGTTGGGGTTGCCAAAAAACGGGAATTTTTTTAGGGTTTACCAAAAAAGGGGGAGTCGGAACTGGGTGTTCCGACTAGGTTTTAGGGTTTTTAAAAATGGTGTTCTCCCCCTAGTCGGATTAGTGAGTTCCGACTAGGTTTAATTTTTTTTTTTATTCGAAATTTGTTTGTGAATGTGAGGTAAGGCTTCGAAAAAGCAAAAAAAAAAATCCCTCCCCCCTGGTCGGATTACCTAATTCCGACTAGGGAAAAAATATTTTTTTTTTCGAATTTTGTTTTTGATTTTGATTTCGAAAAAAAATAAAAGTGTTAGGACTAAATTATATTAATTCCAAATTTAAAATTTCATGACATATTTTTTAACATGAAAACTTAGCATTATGATTTTTTTACTAAGAGAACAATTGATTGCTTTAAATTGTTTTTTAATCCATTTGTATTGTGAATTTTGTTTTAATTGCAATTTTTGTAATTTTAAGTGCAATTTTGATTTACTCCGAATGGAAGATGGAAAGTATGTGTCTCCGGCCTCCATCTCTCGACCAACGCGCATATTAAACTATGGTCCACCTTCATATGGGCAATGTGCTCTACCCCCAAGAACCCAGCATATGCTAACATATTTATCACCCTTTCATCTCGCGCTTCACATCCGAATGCAGCTGAAGGGCAACTGACGCATTTCAAGCACGAGTCTTTGGAATCTGGTTCATACCATACACGGTCTGCACGATGGGCACGAAGTGGCAACGTGAGTAGTGACTGGTTAAAAATCCAGTCACAAAATCTATATTAAAAATTCACAAATTACATAATTAACTACTTGTACACTCTTTAAATTGAATTTTAAGGCTATTTCTAAATGTAGCACATTTTATAAGTTTCAAGTAATTTATCGCTAAATCTTACTCTAAAAGTCCAATTTCACAATCTATACTAGAGCTAGCCCAAGGTATTAATTTATCTAATTATTTATTCATTTATTTGTTCGTAAAAAAACAATCATTTATTTGTTTATTATCCGTACTTTTATATTAATATCAATCGCTAGAATATTTTTGAAGCCAAAAACACGATCTCTGATCTAATCTTATTCAATCTTGCGTGGCAGATCAGATTTCATTCAATTCGGGTTACTCCGTAATGAAGAAGATGTAGTTACAATGGTATTTTTAAAATTATTAAGGAAGACGTAGTTTTTTCTTTCTTTCAAAATGAACATTTTTTTTTTGAAAAATCAAAATGAAGACTTAGTAAAAATGGTTCTATACTTCTATTGTTAGTTAATGAGGTAAAACAATCATTCCACCTCTAAATTAAAAATTCACAAATTACAAAATTAAGTACTTGCACTCCTTAAATTGAATTTTAAGGCTATTTATAAATGTAGCTCATTTTATTAGTTTCAAGTACTTTATCGCTAAATCTTACTCTAAAAGTCCAATTTCACAATCTAAATTAAAAATTCACAAATTACAAAATTAACTACTTGTACACTCTTTAAATTTAGTTTTAAGGCTATTTCTAAATGTAGCACATTTTCTAAGTTTGAAGTACTTTATAGCTAAATCTTACTCTAAAAGTCCAATTTCACAATCCATATTAAAAATTCACAAATTACAAAATTAACTACTTGTACACTCCTTAAATTGAATTTTAAGGGTATTTCTAAGAGCCCGTTTGGAGAACTCTGTTTTCGGCTTATCAGGCTTATCAGCCAACTTTTTCACCAAACACGTAACTTTTACTTTCGCGCGCTGAATTGTGTAATAAGCCGAAAAAGTAAGGTTGGAGTTACTTTTCTGGCTGTATTGGCTGAAGTTACTGTAGAGGACCATTTTAGCTATTTTTACATATAATTTTTTCTTTAATTTATTAATAAAATATATTTTTAAAATATTTTTTTCTTAAATCAGCAGAATCAGCCAAAACAGCCACTCCAGCCAGAATATCATAAATTTCAGCAGAATCAGCCAAAACAGCCGATTTTGGTGCTACCAAACGGGCTCTAAATGTAGCACATTTTCTAAGTTTGAAGTACTTTATAGCTAAATCTTACTCTAAAAGGCCAATTTCACAATCCATATTAAAAATTCACAAATTACATAATTAACTGTGGATACACCTCTTAAATTGAATTTTAAGGCTATTTATAAATGTAGCTCATTTTATTAGTTTCAAGTACTTTATCACTAAATCTAAGTCTAAAAGTTCAATTTCACAATCTAAATTAAAAATTCACAAATTACAAAATTAACTACTTCTATACTCATATAATTGAAAATTAACTAACCTGAAAAGAGGCTGATGTCAAAGGTTGGAGAGGAATAGCTTCTTCAAATAGCTTGACAGATTGAACAATGATATAGTAATGATTATGTATTGAGATGTAAAAATATAAGGTTGAAACAAATCTATTTATAAGGGCCGACTATATAAAAAAACAAAAAAAAACTCTTCCTGTCGGAATTGGTAGTTCCGACTGCCAGGAAAAAAAAATGGGAAATACTCTAGTCGGATTTGGGTGTTCCGACTGGAGGTGAAACCTTTATTTCAAAACCCTAATCTCTAGTCGGATTCCCCAATTCCGACTACCGTGTTTTGGTAACCTAAAAACCTTTCCCGTTTTTTGGCATGTCAGACGGGAAACTCCCGTGTTTTGGTAATTTCCTCTGTATTTTAACCATCTGACAGAAGACCAGTTCTTGTTTGACATGCGCAGCTATTGGGTCTGGTCAAAGGCTTTTCTTATACGTAGTGTGAATGTGCGGTTTCAGGCGAACCAGTGCGGAGCTTTTAGTGGTTCGCTAGTGTTGGCCCATTGCTACATTGCCTTTGTTTGTTTTGCTTGTCTTTTTTGTGGATAGTGGTAAACTTGGTCTGTATGTGTTGATTTTTGGGGAGGTTTCATACAATTAGAAGCATGGGGACTGCTAAAAGCATGAGGACCGGTTCAATCTTGGAATGACTGAATATAATAGGGTAGGTGGGAAGTGGATGAAACCTTGGAAGAAGCAGCAGTTCGAGAAACCTTCGAGGTAGAGGGGATTTATGGAGAAGTTGAGGTAATACAATACTAGTACTATATGCGCCGCCATCTTCATCTTAATTTTATGCATGGAGAAGATGGGATTTATGTTTGTTTCATTCTCGGGTGATAATTAGTACTGATGCATCTATACATATATTGCGCAGAATTGTTTAGGAATGATTTTTTAAGAGCAAGAGCTTAGGAGTGTTACGGAGGAGCTAGAATGCTAGATGATTGGCCTGAGAAAAATGTACGCCAACTATTATGGGTATGTTATTTTTTAGTAGCAGTAGGAGTATTTACAGAAACAAATTAAACTAGCTTGCGTACAAATCATCATTCATTCATTCTGTTATATGAAGATAAACTTGGAGTCATAATATTGATCGTCTAGCTAGTTACTTAAAGCAGCTATATATATATATACTACGTATATGATTGGTTTGTCATCATATTAATATTTTCATTGAAATTAAAAAAAATGGCAAATGCTTTTAGTAAAAAGGATAAAATTATTGCCTTCATGAAGACATCCAGATCAGGATCTGGCTTGATGTTGGCGGCCTTTTCTCTTCTACACAACTCTGCCAACATTTCTGGAGATAGAAAGATTCAAAAAAAAAAAATTTGAATTCTCCACATACAAAGGTGTATGATAAGTGATAAAGAAAAAACACCCCATTAGTTTGGGGCAGGCGGGGAAGATAGACGAACCGTAACGAGAACCGACGCCCTGACATCTAGCAGAGAATTCAAGCGTTTCTCTAACAGTCATTTCACCGATATGGAGATCATGTTGGCTAATGTAAGAAGCCGTTCTTTGTGGCACGAACTCGTTTAGCTCATGGCCATTGTACGTCACTTTCCCGCTCACCCGCATGCCTTTATCGAGCTTTCCGGCCATCGCCAGCAGCAAAGTCGTCTTCCCAGAGCCTGGCGGCCCCAGTAGCAACGTCATCCTGTGTGTAACATTGGAAGATTCTTAATTAATAATTAAGCCCAATTCAGGTAATTAGTTTCATAATAGTGAGCTGGCCAGCCTGGTTTGTCAGTCCAACTAACCTGCTGGGCTTCACGATCCCACTTACGTCGTTGAGGACAGTGAATTTCCTCTTTTTGTTTTTCATTATGTGAAGTGCGTTCAGCAAATCCTTTTACACAGTCCAGGGGAAAAAACACATGCTTAGGTTTAGTTACAACGGTGACCAGCAGAGCAGGTATATATAGCAGCTATATATACAGGTATATATAAAATCAGAGTTCGAGTCAGGACAGCTCGGCCGGACATCTGGCCAAATTCTCCGTTTGTGGGGCTTCCGAGTGGAATTTTTTGACGAAATTTTGTGAATATGTTTTTCATCAAGTATATATTATCTTCGCAAAATTACAGCTCAATATTTGAGCTGTTTTTATATTTATAAATCGCAGTGTTTTAGAAAAACTTACTCCGTATTAGGCTGACTTCCCGATTTAATTTTAAGCATAAATTTTGTAGATATAATTCAAACTTGAATAAGAACATGCTCACAAATATTCATTAAAAATTCTACGTGAAAACTCCTCAAACGGGCTTGGCCGGACAGCGGTTCCGGTCAGACTGATAGGAACACCACTCATAAATCCATACATGCATGTAATTACATACATACAGTATTGTAAATGTAAGATGAATAACAATTAAATGTAAAGCAATCACAAAATGGCGATCTATACGTAAACCTTAGTCGCCCACTGATAAAAAGTTAATGATGAGGATAAAAATTTCTTATAATTTTATGCATAAGATTAGTGTACGTTTATATATATATCACAACCTGAACCATTACTTTAAAATAAAAAAGACAATAACCTTTTGTTAATGTCTGCATTGAATTCTACATATCTATTTCACTTTTAATTGTAAAAAAGAGCTTTTAATGAAATATTAGTATCCTAAATAAAGTTGGGCACAAACATTCGGAAAGAAATAAGATTATATATATAGTTAGTATTGGATTTGTAAATTTAAGAATGATTGTGAGTTACTCCATCTGTCCCGTTTATTCACGTAGTCAACTTAACTCCCTTCTAATAAGTTTATACAGTAAATCTTTATGATTTCTTAATTTGATCTTAAGTCGATTTTCCATTTTATTATTGATAACTACTTTATTTGAAAATAAATGGTTATGATCGTCAGGGCCGTCTAATGAATTTGGAGGCCCGAGTTCCAAATATTAAAAAGAACTTAATTCAAATACTTATACTTAAATCAATTGAATACTTATTAAATAATGTATTTTTTTTATCTAAAACTTACTTAATTCTTGATTTAAAGTAACACACCTCATTATTCAAGCAATTTGAGTAAATTAGAACTAAAGGACCGACAAAAAAATGATGGATCTATATTTTTCTTCCTTATTAATTTCATTTTACTGATTATTATTAATATATTAATATATATTACTGATAAATTTTTACAAAATTGGGACCCCATAAATCTGGGGGACCTGTTCCGGATAACCTAATTAACCCCCTAAAAAACGGCCCTGATGATCGTCCATATATACTCCATTCTGAACTCGTGCTTCTTAAAATTTCCAATGACCATTTAAACATTAAAGAAGAGTATGCGTTTAAGAAAACCAAAACTACATAGATTGAAGTACATATAATTAACTTGACCTATATAAACAGTTACCTCGAAGAAGTTAGTAGCGAATTAAGTTGATGAAAGTAGGCAAAGCTCTACTTCCCACATAAGCATCAGCCTCTATATTCAGATTCTCAAACCTCACTTCTATGGTCGGCATATCAATCCCAACTCTGCAAGAATCATAATTCAAATTGTAATGAAAAAAAAAGACCATTTTTCAAGGCAGAGATAAGCAGTGGCAGATCCATTGGGGGTAAGAAATTAAAGGTTGACCAAAAGAAGGGTTAATACTGACCAAAATTGAATCTTAGACATTTCGACCGTCATTATAGGCTACGGAGGATGTTGGATGAAAATTTTGGCTCCAACTTTCCCTCTAACTCACCATTTACTCCGTATGTAATGTTTATTTAATAATATAATAATATACGGAGTAATTGTTTTTTCTTAAAAGCATCTGAAATAGGGTTATATGTTGGGATTGGAAAATTCTTCTATTCAATATCAAGAACAGAATTACAATAGGAGGAGCAAACTCTCACACTCAACTATTACAAAAAACCAATCCTCACCAATACATTTCTACTCTAAGTGTATTTTCACTCTACACACACTTTTCTCACTTTCTAAACTGATACAAATGAACAACAATAGACTATCTATTTATAGGTGTGTATGATGGGGACATGAGGAAGTTGCATCCAAGCTTCCATTCCCATTGCTAGGGAGGTTCCTAGCTATCTCCAAGCAACTTCCATGAAGGGATGTGGAAGTACCTCAATGTTGGATGGCTCCTTCCTAGAAGGTGTGAGATGCCTTTTGGCAACTTCCAAGAAAGAAGGTGGAATATCTCTACAAATCTCCCCCTCCACCTTTTTCTTTATTTCTCTCGTTCCTGCAATGCTCGCAGGCTCCCCCTCGCTAACAAGTATCCATTCAGATGTGGAATACTTTCTCTGTGAAACTATGCCTCGCATAGAACGTCGAACATGAGTACTTTCAGTTTCGTCTTCAGATGAAGGCTCCCCCTGCTGAGGAATATCATCACTGTGAGTATCATCATCACCTATTGAACCATCACTCTCTTTTGTTCAGTAGTATCATGCATCTCCTCGTCGCTGAGAGAAATGTTTGATGATATAGACACTTCGTCTTCTAGAGTATGTTGTTGGCGGGTTATTGGAGCACACTCATGAAACTCGTTTTCATGAAATACAACATCTCTGCTTCGTACAACTTTCTTCAATTCGGGATCCCACAACCGGTATCCGAATTCTTCATCACCATACCCGATGAAGATGCATGGGTTTGACTTGAGATCTTGCTTCTGTCTCAACTCCTTGGACACATGTGCAAATGCCTTGCACCCGAACACTTTTAAGTGAGAGTAAGAAACATCTCTTCCTGACCATTTCTTCTCTGGTACTTCAAAGTTTAAAGGAACAGAAGGTGACCTGTTTATAAGATAACAAGCTGTCAGCACAGCTTCACCCCAAAATGGCTTATGCAGTTTTGCCATGCTCAACATGCAACGAACTTTCTCCATAATGGTCCGATTCATTCTTTCTGCTACACCATTGTGTTGTGGAGTTCGTAGAACCGTCTTCTCATGTCTGATTCCATACGCAGCGCAATATGCTGAGAACTCTCGGGAATTGTACTCTCCTCCATTGTCTGAACGTAGACACTTCAACTTCTTCCCTGTTTCTCTTTCTACCATCGCATGAAATAATTTGAAGCGATCAAACACTTGATCCTTACTCTTCAAACAGTAAGCTCATACCTTTCGTGATGCTTCATCAATGAATGTCACGAAATATCTGCTTCCTCCAAGTGACTCCTCTTCAATGGGTCCACATACATCAGAGTGGACAAGACTGAGTAACTCTGTATGGTTCTTCCTGGTAGAACTGAAGGAAACCCTGTGTTGTTTCCCGAATAGACAGTGCTCACATGGATCTAGGGCAACACCTTTGCCCATGGAAATCCTTTCCTTCCTAGCAAGAGTTGTCAATCCCTTCACGCTCAAGTGGCCTAACCTCCGGTGCCACAAGTTTGGTGATATCTCTTCTTCAACAGCATTGAGACTCGGATGACACAACTTTGCTTGAGTTTTATAAAGAGTACCACAAATATGGCCTCTTGCAACAACCAAGGAACCTTTAGATAACTTCCACGTACCTTCTTTGAATCTGTTAAGATATCCTTGCTAATCCAGAGCTGTACCGGAGATAAGATTCAATCTAAGATCCGGAACGTGTCGAACATCTTTCAACACAAGTGCGCATCCGACATTGGTTGCTATGTGTACATCACCAATGCCAACAATCTTCGAGAAACTCGTGTTTCCCATCTTCACAGCTCCAAAGTCTCCGGACTTATAAGATGTGAATAAGTTCTGATGTGGAGTGGCGTGAAATGATGCGGCTGTATCAATCACCCACTCAACATCATGAGTACCTACGTGTAAACATTCTTGTTCACCATGTGCAATAAGACACACGTCTGATGACAAAATAACCATGGTCTCACCATCTTCTTGGCTAGTATTTTGACTCGTGTGTGGCTACTCTCGTAGAAACTTTCTACAATCTCTTTTTCTGTGTCCATAATTACTACAGTAATTGCAATATCCTTCAAACCAAGTTTTGTTTTCACAGGACATACCTCGTTCTTGTGATCGGCCGCGAACTTGAGAATTTCCCCTGTTTTGACTTTGACCTCTACCTCGACCTCGACTTCTTCCTCCATTTCTGCCTCCCCCTCGTCTGCTGGTTTCTGACACGAAGGCATATGATTGTTCAATCCCGGCTTCTTTTCTTCGGGCTTCTTTGTTCATGAGGGCATCTGTGACCATCTGCATAGTCACCTTGCCATTGGGAGCAGAATTGCTGAGAGTGACAACAAGAGTCTCCCAGCTGTCAGGTAGAGAGCTCAAGAGTAGTATCGCCTGCTCTTCATCTTTGAGAACCCATCCGGTGGTGCTCAACTGATTCACAAGATCCTGGAATTGACTAGTGTGTTCTGAAACTGAAATACCACCTCGCAATTTGTGGTTTACTAATCGCCTCATTAGTAACGTCTTATTTCGAGCGGTTTTTGCTTGATACATGCTACCAAGCTTCTCCCATAGTGTGTAAGCACTTTGTTCTTGTGCAACATGGTGGAACACACTATGATCTATCCACTGTCGAATTTGTGCGATAGTTTTTCGATTCATTTTTGTCCATTCTTCATCCGTCTTTTTATCCGGTTTCACGCCATTATTATCAAGAGGATCGGCTAAATCCCTCAAATTTAGCAAATCCTCCATCCGAGGCTTTCACGCCATGGTGTCCGATGATGATTTATCCATAATAAAATGCTCAAAATATCTCGTACCTTATTTTCGGAGCCGAATTTGGACAAACGGAGCTCACTGTTGGATCCGAAATGGCCGAAAATGGTAGGAACCGGTCTGACCTCGTCCAAAACCAGTCTGGAAATGGGTGAACCGGCCTCCACAACTACGAACCGGTTCGGTCCGGTTCAGGCAGCAGCCCAGTGTGCTGACACCCAGGCTGGTGACGTGGACACAGCTGGCGCTGACGTGGCACTGACGTGGCGGCCAGCGGATGACTTGTGTGGCTGACGTGGCGGATGACGCGGCGCTTACGTGGACTGACGTGGCTCGTCTTCTTCCTCCGGACTGCGTGATGACGCAGTGATGATGCAGGCAGTTTCAG